TGGGAAGATAAGTGGCCGGCCATACTCCCCACATGCTCATCTAGCTCTCTGCAAATTTTGAGGAAGATCGGAGTTCCCGGGACCTGAAAAAGTTCAAGAAAAGTACACTTCCGGTCGCGAAATTGCTCCGCCGGGACTTCAGCTTCAAGTTCTGACATATGTCTCATCATCACTCATCAAAATCAAAGTGTATCCTTTTTGAATGAGTTGTAACCTTTCCAGGAAGTGGGTCGGAGGCCGTAATTGAGTTACCTTCGCCGAAACACGCGTTTCCGTACTCATTGTTTCATGACAAACGGACACCCTGATTCATGCTCGTGTCACATTATTTTGCATTCTCATGAGCATACCCACATTTTTATGCACATTTCTTGATGTTAATCATACTTCTGTGCTTAAGCGTGCATTGTCACGCATGCTCCATTCTTGCATTGCGATGCATTCACTCACCGGCACTGCGTATGTCGAACTTTCGGAATCACATTAAATACATGTTGATTAGCATATTGTGCTCGTTGAGTTTCTTTCTTTTGCAGGCACGATATTGTATGTACGGTTCAATTGAGGCTGGTGCGACCAGACGAATCGCGCAGGTATCGTATCTTCTCCGTGTGAGACATGGCGGGGATTGAATAATCCTCCGCATTTCTTAACTGCATGAAATGTAGCTGTTGCTTTGCATCCTCGCTTAAAACTGTTGCATCTATTTGCGAATACTTGCTTCATTACAGCTTGCTGCATTCGCATGATCATGAGGATGAACGGCTTCGCGTAGCGTATAAGTCCAACTTTCAAAACGGCTTCGCGTAACGTATAAGTCCAACTTTCAAAACCGGCTTCGTGTAGCGTATAAGTCCAACTTTCAAAACCGGCTTCGCATAGCATATAAGTCCAACTTTCAAAACCGGCTTCGCGTAGCGTATAAGTCCAACTTTCAAAACCGGCTTCGCGTAGCGTATAAGTCCAACTTTCAAAACCAGCTTCGCGTAGCGTATAAGTCCAACTTTCAAAACCGGCTTCGCGCAACGTATAAGTCCAATCTTCAAAATCTTCTTGCATTATCATTTGCATTTTGCCCCTGCCTGCGGGCCTGCCTGCGGGCACATTTCTGTTTATCTTGTACGTTTGTCTAAGTCTTCGGCCTTGTCAAAAATGGGTCGTCTCTGGGCTTTGACATTCACTCCCGTCACTTGTGACTTCCGAGTTCTGTCAAAGAGGGGCAACTGTAGACACCCCATTTTTGACCGACCTTAAGACTCAGACGTCACCGATTGAGCGCTTGGTGATGTTGCATAAGGTGCTTGTTCAGAAGTTTCAGAGTTGCGGCCGTGAACCCTGCCTCCGGACTTCCGAACCCTCTTTTGTACCTTGTCTCGGTTTGCGAACCAGGCTCGGTTTTCTCTGTTTTTTTTTCTTGAGGGAAGGGAGAGGTCCCGTAGATCATCTCTCAATGTCCGTAGGCTACATTTGGTGGCCGTAGGCCATTTTGCCCATTTCGGAGCCCGGTTTTCGGTTTTCCGGGACCGTCAGGCCGTGTGCCTCGGTTCGGGACCGCTTAACCATCTCCTATTGTTCCAGTTTTTGGCATACTTTCTATTTTCTCCCTTTTGAGGGACACTGGGGGCTGGGAAACCCACTTCGTGGCCGAACGCCACTTTCAGTGCTTAACGGCCCATTTTCGGGACCCCGAACTGCGCGTTTTGGCCCCGGAACTTTCACTTTGCAACGGTTTTCGTTCATTTTTTGCAGATACCTCTGTTTTATCACTAGGAAGGTCACTGAAGGG